AGTTTCTGATTATCTTAACAAGCTTCTTTGTGGCTTCTTGAACCAGACTGTCTTCTGTTATGGGGTTTGAGAAAGATTTGAACAACACAACAGCAACTTCTTTCCAACTGCTAAAGAGCTATACCCCATGAATTCTTGTATTTTTAAAGTTTTATATATTGCACCACAACTGAAAAAATGAAAAAGGCATAGATTTCTCAGCCAGAGCTGCTCTAATCCTAAGATAGATGGAAAATTAGTAAATAAAACATGGTCTCTCTTTCCTGTCCTCCCCAAAATCTAATATTTGCCTTTTTTACCATCTGTAAACAAATAGTAAACTGCTAATAGCTAGTCAAATCATTTTTGAAACCAAGCAAGACCAGGATACTCATTGCATTTTGTTTGGGAATCTCTGAGCAGTTCTTTGTGCAGGTGTGGTGACAAATCCCTCCCTGAGTGCCCAAGGAGGAAATGGGCATGGGCTGGAGCAGCCACCCTGGAGGGGATGGCAGGCACAGAGCAGAGCAGGGACACAGCTGCCAGGCACACCTCCAATGCAGCCATGAGCTTGCAATCCTGCAGATTTCACATTCTGCAGACCTGGTCACTTTGCTTTAATGGGGATCTGTGGTTCATGCGTCCTCATATTCATTTTGACCAGTCCTGCCTCAGGAACACTGTGTAAATATTTAAGGGCACTGGTGAAGAACAGTCCACTAAGATTTTGGCTCAAGAGCCTTAGTAATCACCAGGCATTAGGAGAGTCTGTTATTCTTCAGCACATGAAAAGATTCATCTGGAACTCCTTCTCTTGTGCCCCTCTGCAGCACAGTTCCTTTTCTGAAAAGACCTTATAATGAACTGTAAATGAATTAAAAAGGGAATGTGAGTTTATGTATCTCTATCCTTCAGCAGTTTTGCTGCAGCAAACAACTATGTTTCAGCATTTTTTTGCTGCAAACATATTTGTGTAAAATATAGAGAAACCTTCAAAATTAACCTTAGAAGTTCAGATGTTCAACTATGGCAGGTAAACCACATAAGCAACAATTCATAATGGTATGTTCAATTAATAAAGTGTTAAGAGCAATATATAAATATATATGTGCCTTCTTAATTAAAGTTTATCAGGTACATTTTATTTACTAAAACATTTAAAGCAAATCTCCCTTGATTCTTTACAATATCTCTTTCTAGTGTTCTAGCAATGAATTCTGTGAATTACAGTGGGTGTGGGAAACAGCTAATGGAGTAATTAATCTAACAGATAAGGGATTAGCCAGCCAAGATCCTCAGTGGACACGCTGGTGAACATCATGATTGAAGGGACATTTTCTCTTTCTAAACTTGTGTACCAATTGTACTGCAGTCACAGAAGTGCTATCCAAGCAGTTAAAGGTGGGAAACATCATAATGGAGACCCAGGACCTGAAAAATGAGACAAACTGTAGCAACACAGAAGACTGCATCCAACCAGTTTCAAGGAAGAGCAAGGAAAACCTCTGAATAAAAAGCAGAGTAACTTTTTGCACAAGGAACAAAGCACATCTCCCAGCTTCTAAACAGCTATTTTGAGAATAGGTAGAGCACATTTCTACTGCAATAGATTTTTTTCTAGGAATTAGCAATATTTTTGCGTACTAGATGCAAATAAAAACTGGCAGTTCTAGACAGTGAAAGATCTGCATTTGTGAGCCCAAACTTACATGGAAACCTTGTAAACTGTACTACTACAGTCATATTTAGTTGTTACATGATGTAAACTAAAACACTAATATTTTTAGTCTTTCCTTCTCAATTTAGCACTAATTCAGCCATATGTGTGTCATCACAATATGTATCTCAACTACTCAAGTAAAATGGATCTGAGATCTGAATAACTTATTTGACACACCTTGGTATTGTGTCCATGCTTGTCAGTTTTAGTGTAATTTCCATAACTATAAAGACAGCAAAGAAACTCCTTTGCAGTACAGAATATTCTAGTGCTCAGAGAAAAAGTGAAGAGATAAATTTGTCAGAAAATCCAGGTACATACTCTCATTTGAGGGAATATAAAATATATTGAAAGTAAGCTACTTATGTAGTCATGGATTGGACAATTCCAGTAAACCACAGAAAAATACCAGGAGGAGGTACTGACCACTAATAACCAATATCCAGCATTGTAGTGGGTTCAAAAGATATTTAACAGCTCAGATTCAATTTCTCAGACGCAAAGTGATACACCAGAATATGGGATATATGAATACACATAAGAAACACCATATTCTTACACTTTGTATCCTGCTGTAGTGTCTGCAGCTTGCTATGCTGAGAAGTACTGTGTGCCCTGCTATGAACCATGATGCAAAAAATAAAAATAAGACTTCCAGAAGATCACTATACATTTAAAGACAATAAGGCTTCTTTCTTCTTCTAATTGAATAGATATGTTATTAATACTCCTTGAGCCTGTAAGAAAATACCTCAAGCACCCACACTTGAAAGGGAATGGAACACAGTGTACTCATATATAATAGCGTAACTATTTTAGAACACTTCATGCAGCAAGAGACAAAGAATGTGAAGTACATCATTACAAAAATTCATGGCACCTGGCAGTTTTGTTCTAAGTTCCTATACTATGCTATTATTTTAAGTTTGTTTGAAGACATACTTCTGTACTTTGAAGTCTGAAGTGGTATCTATAAAATATTATACAATGTAATGTGCTGCATTGCAACAGAGGTGTTATCAAGATTCCAAAAATGAGCCACGCTTTCTTGAACCTAACTTTCACAATGTAATTCATGAAGGCAGCAGCCAGGTGTATCTAATAAAATCACAGCACAGTCTATATGCCTGCCATTAAAAAGAAAAAAATTAGTAACTGGTAAGGTAAGACCATGATGAACAGACAATTCACTGCTGGGCAGTTCTTTTCCAGAGAAAGAGAGCTTGTAAAGACAATAAGAAAATGATAAAACAATCCACCTCGCTTTGAAACAAGTGCTGACATTAAAGCCTGCTAGTTATTTCTAGAACAATGTGAAGAACAACTAGTTTTTTTATGGGGAGGAAAAAACACATTTAAAAGGCTTCTAGGCTTCCATTCTTCCCATCAACATGAGTTGTAATCTAATATTAACACATAAACTCATATAAATATCCAACCTTATTTTGATTTAGGGGACCTTGGCATTTACATTTAAAGTGAGCAGTTACCTATTAGACATGACATTTTTTTCAGTGCCATATCATAAATTGTCAACAAATTTTGCATTCTTAATTTACTATTTTGACATTCATTAACATAATAAAACACCACTATTTTAAAGTTCATATTAAAAAGAAATCTTGGCAGGAAGCTGTTAAATACAGTTCATTGATAACAATGCTGACCAAAGTTCCTCTCGGTTTTGTTTTGTTTTTGGTTTTTTTTTTTTTACTATACATTCCCCAGTATTTTTTAATTCATTAATGTATCTTAAATTTGTATTAACATTCACAAATTGCTGAGTCCCATGAAGGAGATTCACAGTACCCCAGAACAAAAAAGTTGCTGTCCAAGGTACTGCACATAAAGACAAGTGTTCCAATTAATCTCTTCAATGTGTTAAAAATGTTTTCAGATTTATAAGCTGTCCTTAGAAAGCAAGCTATCCCTGCTGAAATTCCTTACATGATACTGCAGTATCAGTGTTATGCTGTTACTTTCCAGGGCCTCTTCTACTGCATTCCAGTATGATCAGACATTCCAGCACCTGACAATACCCAGTCTGTATAATTAAGGACGAGCCTGTTCTAGTCTTTGTTACAGACTGATTTTCAGCAGGGCTGAAATACAAAACAAAGTCTTTGAATTCTACATGGTGCATGAATAAAAGCTGCCCTCTAATATAAATCCAGATCCCATGTATTGTTCTGGTATTCTGCAGAGCAATCACTAAATGTAATTTTATCTGCAGTATTCACCTTACATATCTCAGAAGCATAATTATTCACACATTCATGCAGTACATAGCAAATAGCATCCTGGGTTTAATTGCTGCTTCAAAAAATAATCCTAGAGTATAAGAAAATTAAATACCATTTTTGTTTCTTTTGTTATGTTTAATAGGAGAAGCATAATTGTAATTTGCAAGGCTAAAACAATGCAACAGCCAAGAACTGCAGTAAACCTCTAAGAGCTAATAGCAATATGCAATAATGCTTTCCCACACTATCTTCAAGCAAATGGATTTAATTCACTGCTTAATCAGTCAAATTATTATTAATATGGCTAGAAAGGATGTTTCTTAACAAACCCAATTTATGGTTTATTTATTTGCAAAGTGTCTTAAGGCTGAGATGTCTAGAAGAACTACTGTGTTAATTCAATCATGCTGACAGAGCTGGTTTCACCTAAGAAATGATCTCTGCAATTCACAGCATGGCTGACAGCTATCTGCATGGAAAAGCAGCACAGTATCCACTAAAATCATGCAAAAAACACTCACCCAAGAAGAAGTAGCAAAGATGAGGATCCAGCTTCCAGACCCCATGAAGCTGAGGGAGCAATCCAGCAGCTTGCTCAGGCCAGCAGTGTCTCTCCTACACTTGACCTAGACTGCCTTACATAATGAGGAAGCAGTGCTGTATCCTGTGTGGAGGAGCAAGCTGAATGTCATCACTGGCAGAAGTAGGGAGAACTGGCAGCAGGCAGGCTGGTAGTTAGCATGGAGATCACGAAGTCTGCTTTCCCTGACTGCTCTGGGAGAAAACACAAAAACAGCTCAGAAATGCTGCTGTCATTCTTCCCCTGGAACGAATGACCGGAAGGAGCGAGGGTGTTCCAAGTGTGAGGCAGGGAGCAGGAGCTGAAACTGCAGCTGTACCTGCTCCAAAGCAGCAGAGCTCCTGNCTGTACCTGCTCCAAAGCAGCAGAGCTCCTGCCACAGGGTGCCTGCAGCACTGCTCAGCTGCAGCTGTACCTGCTCCAAAGCAGCAGAGCTCCTGTCACAGGGTGTCTGCAGGAGCTGCAGCTGCAGCTGTACCTGCTCCAAAGCAGCAGAGCTCCTGCCACAGGGTGCCTGCAGGAGCTGAAACTGCAGCTGTACCTGCTCCAAAACAGCAGAGCTCCTGTCACAGGGTGCCCGCAGCACTGCTCAGCTGCAGCCCCAGCAGCGCGGCAGAGCAGCGAGGGACACGAGGGACACGCTGCTCCCGCACACCTCTGCCTGGCCACGGCTCACTGCGGTGAGTACAGGGGAAGCATCGCTACAAGAGAAACTCTGGAATGCATTTCCAAAGGGAACTGCTATTCCCTCCAAGAAATCTTACTGCATGCAGGTCAGTTTCTGGAAAGTACCCATTTTTTACCTGTTGTACGTCGTGTTACAGGGGTTAAACTGCTTCTATTACAGAGGTTTGATTTTACAAGAAAATGATGGGTAAGATATATTATCTGTTGTGAAGACATTTACAGTAATTTCTGATGTTTCTCCGCTTTTTTTCTCTTTTTTCTTGAGAAGCCTTTGTGTATTTCATAGTTTATTATTGTTTGGGTCATATCAGCACTTCAGTGCAGGGCACAACAGGAGAAACAACTATTCAGGCTTAACCAGCCATTAAAACTGACATAACCTTGTTTACAAAAGCTTACTTTATATAAACTAAAACTATTACATATACCTTGTACTCCATAATTTATTTCATTTCAATCCTTCAATAGTAACTAAAGAAGCTTAAATACATGCAATGCATATACAAATTATTCTTGAACTAATATTTTGATAAAGTTTCTCTCTACAAAAGGTAAAGGTTTCACTAAGATGTTTTGTGGTTATACTTGAGACTGCTTGATTAGACATAAGAGTAAAGGCAACTGGACACAAAATCCCATGGCAACATAAAGGCAGGTCAAGAAAAGTTTTAAGTCTCAATATGGAACATTGACTGGGGTTTACAGAACTCAGGTTAGGTGCAGACTCTATTATTATTAGTTATGTCCTCCTAGACTAAGCATGACTTAAGGTCTGATCTCAAAAGGGAAAATCAAGGTGAAAGAGATAAAAACAATACAAATTTTTGTTTTCCAAATCTATCTAATTTATATTTCTTCTTTTGAGATAAACTTACGATGACTTTTCTATCGAATTTCATCAGGTAAAAAAATGCTCGGTTTTCACTGGTTTTCAAATATATATTATCATTGTCTCTTGTTGAATGTTTTCCTTTTTTCCTTTCTTGAGAATCAAAAAGACAAAAAGGAAAAGAAGAAAAAAGTCAGAAGCATTTAATATAAAAGGCAGATTCCTAATAAGACCTACAGCTAGCATGCCCTGAGTTAAGTTGAATGTGGAAGAAATAAAAAAGCAAGAAAATCATATTTTGAGAATTATTTTTAAAAACCAATTATTTCTGTATTTGAAAACAGTAACTGTTTTTCCAATCTTCAGAAAATAGCATTAAAAATACCTTGGAGCAGTTTTTTACATATTGGTTTAGACTGCTAATGAGGAGTATCTATTAAAACTTTACATAATTTGTGTGCACCAACCTCGACTTTTGGTGTGTTTCAAGTGTTAAGTAAGAGTTCTTGCTTTAGAAAAAATCTGCTTACATACTTGGCCTGGGTTAATCAAGAGTTGAAAATATCATGACCTGTATTAGGCTTTGGAAAAATACACAAACAGTTTGATTAAGTTGCAAAACCAGTGATTCTGTTGGTCACTCCAAACAGCAAAGCAGACAAAGTACTCACCTAAAGGGAGCTCAGGTGCCTCCACAGCCATGGCACTGGACAGGACAGTCCAACTAGAGATAACCAAATGTTGAATGCATCAGGTTGGAAAATAAAGAAAGTTCATTGGTAAAATATAGGTTACACAACCCAACCCACAGAAACTGGGTAGAAAAAGCTACCTAAATGAACAGAATGCAAATTTGGCTGGCAGCATTGCAAAGGCAATATACAGTTTGCTTGATGTTGCAGTTCAGGCAAACTTGTCTAAGTTTGATACAGCTGATTCCATCTTTGGGCTAAATCATGAATCAGATATTCCTGCAAAGTTTTCCAGTCTTATTTTCCATGATATTTCCTACAACTGCGTATCCAACCAGAGAGCAGCCTCATCACAGTCTGGATAAGTAAATCCAGTGTAATGGTTTGCAAACATTAAGTTTTGTCATTCAACATACACCTGAAAGCCATAGCTTTTGTCTGGAGTATAAATACTGTTTACTTCTCTCAGGTAGTAGCCAAATTGCTCCTCCATTGAGCCACAGTACTTTTCAGTTTACAGTAACTCCTATAAGCATTTTTCCTTGGGTCAAATCTGCTGGCAAGTCAAGACTATCTAAACAAATTGATATAGAAATTGCTGACATGTAGAACTTTCAGCAAAAGACTCTTTCTGAGCCAGCTGCACTGTATTAATGTGAGTATTAAGGGCTAATGCTTGACAGTGGTAAGAAAATAAGTCAAGTTTACATAATACTCAACTAGCATATTAATTATTCTGATGCCTCAGCAGATAGATGGTCAAAGTAAATAAAGTAAATTCAGTTTGAAAAAAAACCCCTTTTAAAAACTGTAGTCTTTTGAAAAACTACTGCAGAAAAATCTGCTGATTGGAAAAGAAGAATGGACTAGACAACCCCTCATGAAGATGGAAATGAAAATATGAATGTTTGGGGGCTTAATGTGAGGAGTTAAAAACTACATAAACTTGCTACACACATTAGGAAGACAATGCTAGTCATTATTACAGAAGAGTGTAAGCCTATGAAACAAATTCTGGAATGGTTCTTTTACGGAAAATATGGCAATGGAGGTTTGCAGTGCTTGTCACTAAATTGCCCTTACTTGCTGAGTTTATTTCCACAAGGTCCTTTCTATTCCATGCTGAAATGAAGGAAGCAGTATCTCATAGACCCTACTCCTGCCAACAACCTTGAGTAAACAGGACAATGTTTTTTTAGACACCTTGCTCTTAAGATGCCTTGCACATAAATAAATCATTACTTGAGGTTTGCTCATACTAATATAGATTCCATTTGGGATCTGCTGAAACACTAAAATGCTCTGGTATCAGTGACTGGAGAGACAACTACAATATCTTGTGGTGCAGGTTTTTGGCGTTTTTTTCTGTCCTTCTCTGTGACCTTTCTTTCTTTTCTCAAAATAATTCATCACTTGTGTTCCTGAACAACCTGCACAAGTGAGTCATGCTGAAATGTGTAAACAATGGCTCAAAGTCTTCAAAAAATAAACTCCTGCATTTAGACCTGACAACACATAGTCCTGTGAATGGAGGAGGAGGGGGATTCCTTACAGGAGTCCTCTACCCAAGTCTCTCTGAAGACTTTGACCATTTCTCTGCATGTGCTAATTCTGTAAGCAAAACCTATAAATGCATAACACATACCTCCTTTTTGAAACAGGTAGCAAAAACTTTTGATTTCTTTCTTCAAATATTATCTAGCAGCTCAAGACCTCAATTTACTCTGCATATATTTTTTTATTAATTGACCCAGTCATATCACAATGAAGACCACGGGAGGACTAGTCAAAGAGGAATGATTTTCTCTTTTAGTTGGCTGAACTTCCACCTATCTGACTAACATCAACATTCAAATAGGCGGAAGAACATCTCTAAGTACCCTTTTGTCCTTAAATGATACCTTACCAACCTTGCAGCTGAATGAAACAGCATTTTAAAAAGCAGTCGTATTTCCAAACAAATTGTACAATTTAGATGTTAAGATGTGTCAATGTTTTCAAGCCTCCTTTCCTTAGCATTTGACAATATTTAGTGCCCTACGTATACACAAGAAGGTCCCTGATTTTCCCCCAAATGATGAAATATTCCAGTCATGAAAGGTGAACACTGAACACTCGAATTCAGTGGATACTCCTCAGATGGGTATCGTTAATTTGGCAATTTTGTGCTCGCATGCAGTTTCTGATATTTAACAATACACATTACCCCAGAAAATTACTAAAAAATTATAATTCAATTAAGCATAAAACCCTCTACAATTAAACTATGAACATTAAATAGGTCAAGGTCACAGTAATCTGAATATTCATAGACTGTTCTTTCATTTCTCTTTGACATCTCTTCCTCTACAATAAAACTAGCTATGATAGTCTTTTAAATTCCTTTTCAAGATTCTTTGTGAGATTTATAGGGTTGCCTATTATACCTCTGAGAGTGCCTATAAACTGATTTCCCAATAGACTATTTTTGTACTTATCTCATAAAAAACCATCTGCTGTTTTGCATATTAATACTATAAGAGAATGGCAAAAATAAGAGGAAAGAAAAAAGTTGAAAAATGAAATAGCAGTTAATTAACAATTCAATAAATATGCCTATTTATTTTGACTAGATGAATGATCTTTATCAACTGAAAATAATTAGTACTGGCAGGCTTTTCTGCTGGATTTTCTTGTGTCACTGATTCCAGGATGTTGAATTTACATTTAAATTATTTTTAGCATCTCCCCAAACTAAGTTTTATGAGCCTAAGAGCAAAAAAAAAGAATGACACTTAGTTTTGGAGTTAAGTTGTCAGTCATTCATCAGAACATTTCTAGAAATTGTAGTGGTAGTACCTTGAACTCCAAGCCATGAGTTATTGATGCCTAAGAACAGTATCAGGCAAAACAGATTTATGGTTCAGCATAGTAAATGTACCATTAGCACTAAAAGCAATAAGGTGCCTTTTTTTTCTTCTTTTTATTTTTTCCAAACCCCTCCTAAATAGCCCCCAGCATGCACCATTTGTGATATTGATTTAACACAGATGCAGAACTGGCTAACACAAAATCCTGAAGGACCTACTACAGCGAACGTGTTTGCAAGACTGGTTATCCCCTCTAGCAACACATGAAGATACAATCAGTACTCACTTTTGGCTAAAAGGCATAAATTCATCACTTCGGTTTCATTCTGGATCCAAGTACCTTATTTCTGTCTTTCTTTAATTGACATGGCCCAGACCAGTCAAACAAGCTATATTACTTTCATTAAGTTTTAATGTCTTTTCAAGTCTTTGAAATGTCTGTATTTTTGGGAAGAAAAATAATTCAGATATAATTCTTTACAGAAAAGTGATACTTCTTGCATTTTGCTTTACCATAAATTTTAGAAATATGCTTAATAACTGCAGGGTAGCAAAAGGGTGGGTGAGCTGTTAAATGTTTTCAACAGATCTCTTCGGTTACCACCAAAGAAATTGTTTCAGCTCCTATATTCTTGTTCCTCTTTTTTCCATCATTTGGATGCTTCCAGGAAATAATAAAGACTCCCTTTTGGTTTCTTGCTTTTCTTCCCAAGATG